ATTTTCTGCACATTCCAGCACATAAAATAAAATATATATTTTTTGTTTACACTCACTCTTTCAGTAAAACACAGCAGAAAATAAATAAAATCAAAGACTAGCGGTCCTGTTGCTCTATTTTCACCTGTAAAGCAGGAGTGGAGTAGGCAGAGGTTTACCCTGGTGCAGGTGTGCCGCGGGGGTCAGTGGAAGAATCCACGAGTTTCTCTGTGAGTTTCCCATTACATCGTAGCGCACTCAGTGCTTGCTTGGAAGTTTAGGGTTTTTTTCGCTGTAAAAATAAGTTTTCTTCCCACGCACAACAGACACTAATGTTTTTGTCACTTTTTATGGAATCAAACTCAAAATAAGGTCAGTACTTCCACGCTTAGGCGTCAAACTCTGGCCCGTGGGCCAAATTTGGCCCGCAGCCTAATTACATTTGGCCCACGAAGCCACACCAAATTACTATTAGAGCTGGCCTACTGGTATAATACAGCTAATATATATATTGTTTATTCAGTTTTTCAGCAAAACGTGTTTGAGTCCATAAGAAAAGATTCATTCTTATATCTGGAGGAATAAATATATTTCAATAAATATTAATGTTAGCCCGCGACTTTGTTCCAGTTTTGAATTTTGGCCCACTGTGTATTTGAGTTTGACACCCCTGAACGCTGCACGCTCATCGCTCATACTCTCTCCGCACTCCATATATTATCCATTGTTGATCTGCACACAGCTGTTGTCAAAAACGTCGCACTCGCTTACGTCACTGTCATGAGACCTCGCGAAAAAAAATCACGGTTTTAGTAATGCAGCGTTCCTACGGGAAAGTAACGGTAATCTACTTACCGTTTTTGCGATAGTAATCCCTTACTTTACTCGTTACTTGAAAAAAGTAATCGGATTACAAGTAACGCGTTACTGCCCATCTCTGCTCATTAGTGTATGGTCTATTTTTCCAGAGTAAGAAGATCCCACATAGAGAAAAGATCAAGAACACATGGACTATTTTTATTTAACCTGTGGATAAAATATTAATGAAACTGTCTTTTCAATCACAGATATATCAGATTAGGTGTAATAACTCTAATCATGGTGGGGTGGGGCAGTAGTTAGCACTGTTGCCTCACAGCAAGAGGGTCCTGAGTTTGAATCCAACAACTGACCAGGGGCTTTTTGTGTGGAGGTTGTTGTTCTTCCCATGTTTGTGTGGATTCTTGTTATCTACTCCGGCTTCTGCCCACAGTCCAAAGACATGCACGTAGTGGGTAAGGTTAAATAGTGATTCTAAATTGCCCATAGGTGTGAATATGAGTGCAAATGTTTGTCTGTCTCTCTCTGTGTTAGCCCTGCGTTAGCTTGGTGACCTCTCCACAGTATACCCTGCCTCTCGCCCTATGGCTCCAGCCCCCCGTGCGACGCTGAAATGGATAACAGAAAGATTATCCAATGTTAAATCAACCAGTTGAAGGATTATTTAAGAACAGGTTCATGTTTTCATGTACTGTAACTCTTGCTTCCTTCTTCCACAAGACTTGAAAGTAATTTGTCAATCTGACTGAAATGTCTCAACAACTACAGGATGACAGGCTTTCATAAGACCAACGCTACTAACTGATTCAGATTTTTTCAGATTTTTCCCAAAACAAGTCCAAAAGCCTGCAAAAACTAAAAACACTCCCATGAGCCTCTGCTGTATTCATGTTAAGTGCTGACTAGAAACGCTGCTTGCAACACTGTAAACTGTGGCGATTGCGTGCTGATGTTAGCATTTACCTCAAAGCGGTGCAGCCTCGCGTGCTATATTTTCTGACCTTTTAAAGACAAAAAAAAAAAAAAACAAGTGACCAACTGCTGAACAAATGTATCCAGAACGCCGTGCTAGTGACTGTCAGCTTCCTCCACAGTAGAGTTTAAAAACGAACTTTTAAAATGAAGACAACATATTTCTTTCATTGAAACTCAAAAGATTTCTATTGCATAATTGTTTGTTATCAAACCTTTTGATGTTACTAGCAGCATCTTAGTTTGGGGGTTTGGAAATAACCTGAAACAGAGCCACCGTGTTCTTATGTGGAGATCCTTCGACAGATACCCCAATAAAGAAAAAACGAAAGCTATAAACTGAGGTCTACATTTTGGAAGAATTTTGAATCGTGCAAAGAATGTGCAGAGTTGGACTGTCAGAGAGGTACTAATAGAGCCCTGGTTGTTTTTGAGGCTTGTGGCTTGTTGTATTACACAAGTTCTTCCTGTTTTTGTTCCCCATTTGCTAAAAGATTATAGATTAAACAATTGTCTCTTACATATGACACAGGAGTCAATGTGAATGCCTACAGCATAAGATTGCTGTTGATTTTTGTTTTTCTGTGCTTTCCTATGGAAATGGGTAATAAAAGTACTTGCAGGACACTAATGTCACGGTCCTCCTTTGTTTTGAACTGCCTTCTCCCTTTCTCTCTGTCTTTGCTTTGCTACTTATCTTACCTTTCTTTCTCTATCACTGATTTTGTCCTGGACAAAGAACCCCGCCTGGCCCGCTCTCGCCCCCACAAACCTGCAGATATCAGAGAGCACTTACCTGAGCTCAAACCTATGGAGAATCTGAGAATCCTCACCTGAGTCTGTGCCAGTTAAAGTCACAAAGAGTTACCTGTATTAACATCGGCCTGAACTTTGTGGTACCTGGAATACCTGTGAAGAAAACAAGAGACTCGCATCCTTTGCATGAATAATAATCTCCTGAACTGCGGCACATGCTTAGCTTTTGTTAACCTGAAAGCATTCATTACAATTATTAAACTTTTTTCCAGTGCAGTTTAGTCTCCAAACACTTTGACACCTAATGTTGGTGGGGAACTGTTCAAGCTGAACCCTCCAAAGTGAACATGCACTTCTTGAGTTCTTCCCCTGTGGAAGGAGGCTTCTGTCCATCAGCTTCCTCCTATATCTGTGTTTTATTTTCTGGGTTATTTTCTTCATGCATGCTTACTTTTCATGCACAGTTTACATTTTGCACATCCTCACATTTTTACTGAATAGTTCTGTTGTCACATATATATTTCTAACTTTTTTATTTGCACAAGTTGCCTTTATCTGATTTCTATAGTTTGTATATTTGACATTGAATGTCAAAATACTGACACCACTTCTGTGCATGCATGCACTTGCTTGTCAGTATAGCAGATTATGATGATTTTTTTGTGTGTTTTTGTGTGTCTGTCTTGGTGTTCAGTATTCAGCTGGATAAATCAGGCTCACTTTCAATCAGTTTAAATTTGGAAAATTTGACAAGAAAATCAGCTCGTCAAGGAAGGAAAGAGTGTTAACACCGCGTAGAAAGGAGGAAGGAGAGGTGGCATCAGCTCATCTGCAGTCACAGACAAGAGGAACAGCAATTCGCAGAAAAACCAAATCCGCCCATGTGACAGAATCTGGTTTCCTTCAGCTTTAGCATGTGTGCCAGAACACGCTGTTCTCTCAATGAAGCTTGTTAGCGCGTTATGCAACATGTCTAGAAAAGAGAACTCTGGCCAAAGTAGTCACTCTCCTCCTTTCTGTCATTAATTTAGACACTAATGATTGCACTGCAGGGTGATTTAGCAGCAAACAAATGTACAGGCATTTGTGAAGGTCACAGATACACAGACAGGAACTTGTTTAGTTTGTAATTGTTTTTATTGCATTCTTATATTCTTTTTACTTTGTTACTTAAAACTGTTCAACCAGACGTTTTATGGCACCAAAACACTCATTGATAAAGATTACATACATTGCTAGCTTACTTTATGTACAATTCAGCATACAAATACAAAAAAAGATTATCAGAAAAGTGCTTTAATGTAGTGGAAGAAAAAGAAATATGCAAAGTGAATTAGATTCACAAAAAAGCAAACAAACAAACACACAAAAACCATAGTGAACATATATTATACTATACGGTAAATATCACCATAACAAACAACACTTGAGACGAAACACAGAAATTCGTAGCATATTTTCTCCACAGCAAACTGTGTTCATAGCTTCATTGTGATAGACTAAATATCTATCATCGTAACTACACCGAAGTTAATACTTGTACTCTTAACAGTACTACTGAGAATGTGCAGCCATAAAGGCGTCACATAGCTGACATTTATCCAAAGTGAAAAAGTGAACGATAAAAACACTGGACTTTGTGCACCAAGCTTGGGTTGCTGCTGGCTTTCAGCTTTGCTCCCAGTAACTCATGCCTGTGAATTATTTCTGTCTACAATATTTGCAGATTGTGACAAAATCCAATCTGCAGAGCAGATATTAAGTCAATCAAACGTAAGACTCCTTTGCATAGGAAAGTTCCTCAAACACAGGCTGGCTGCATCTCCGTGACACGACATCGTGTTGACGCGTCGACACGGACTCCGACATGGCTCTCTGGCGGAAAGGCTGCCGTAGATTGACAATGTCTGATTCCTGGGGAATGCATTCCTGAATTTGGATGCACTGAGGATTAGAGTCATAATTTACAGAGGATGGACGAGACCTGCTCCTCATCTCCTTTACAGTCAATGAGCGATACTGTGGGGGGGGACCCACATTCTGCACCGCCTGTTCGTATGATGGAGGGCTGCAGGGCTGCCTGCTGTCAACATGCTTGAAAACTTCAATCGCAGACAGAGGGCGTGGTCTATCCACAGGCTCGGCCGGTGGATCAGCTTCGCTCTGTAAGTCCTCCTGGAGGGTTTCGCAGGGGAATGCGTTTTCCTTCTGTGAGTCTCTTTTCTGGCTGTTTCTGCTAAAGGCTCCTAAGCTCCTGGTCCTCATTAAGACTTTAGTGGCAACTCTCATGGACTGAGAGCGCTTCCTTTCTTGTGGTTTGGAAATCTCCTGCTGTCCCTTAACAGCCACTGAAGGCTGGCTGCTGGCGTTTGCCTTCCTCGAGCATCCTGGTGACACCATTGGGGAACTGGTGAAAACAGAGCTCTCTGAATGGTTAGAGGTAGTGCTTTCGAGGGAAGAGCAAGAACAGTCTTTGCCCATGAAGGGCTGCAGATCTCCATTGGAGTTGTTCAATTTTAAGAAAGGCATAGTTGGCCTGGCTACGCTACGGCCTCTGAGCAAGAAGGAGTCATCGGAGATCTGCTTTTTCAGAGGCTGCTCGGCAAAATCTGCCTTTTCTGTGGAGCAGTCCTCGTGGCTCCTGGCGTGGCTGCACAGGCCCTTGAGATCGTCTGAGAGGAGGATGATGGGCTCAGAGCACCGGCGGTTGAATTCTGGCTTTGTGTTGAAGACAGCATCGGACCAAGTTGTCGTGCTGGGGCTGGGCGATGAGGATGAAGAAGTAGAGCCATATTCTGTAGACGTGGACATGATATTCTCTCCCACCTCTGCATCGCCATCTGGGTCGGTGCTATCATATGCAGAGTCCTGATGCTGGGAGGAGACAGAGTCTGTCGAGCAAGGAAAGGAAGACATGATTAGAATCCATTTAATCTCATTTACCTCTGTAAAAAAGGCCCATAAAGGTCTCTCAGCATTATTGGGGGCTTTATTTGCTAATTAATTTACCTTCATCTGTGTCCAGTAAGACTCTGGTATTTTCTCCAAGAATGTCACAGTTCTCAATCAGGAACTGAGTAAGATCTGTCACCTGCAGAGAATCACACAAAGACAAGCAAGCATTAGTAAAATGAATAACAACAACAAAGTCAAGGGATTCTGTAGACAAATTCAGTGCTTCACTTGGTCCAAATACTCGGCTTGTTATTAGCACCTAAGTATGTGCTAGTGCACTCCCACTTATGAAACCGCTTGAGGTTTCTTGCACTGTGAGCCGCAAGGCTTCAAAGCGCTCAAAGTGAGAAAGTAAATTCATATCACATCTTTTTACCTTCTGCATCTTCTCCTTCTGCTCCTCCAGCGAGGTGTCATCCAGCTGCAGCAGCGTGGGGCCGATGCACACCGCCAGATTGTAGGCATCCATCTTGTTGATGTCTGCGCTCTCCAGGATGTGATGGAAGACGCAGATCAGATGCTGCAGGAGGAGTCTGTTCAGCCCGGGGAGATCATCTACCACCCTAGTTCGCGGGTAGCAAAAAAAAAGGAGAAGCAGGAAGGAAAAAAAAAAAAACGGTTAGCTTGCCGCTCTTTTTTTAGAGTCTCTTCCTTTTTTAAAACAGTAGACAGACTTAAAAAAGAGAAGTGGGCTATGTTCCGGTCAGATTGTATAGCGAACATATGGAATGATTAAAAACTTCCCTCAAAACCACAAAACCAGTCATGAAAAAAAGAACATAACTATTTTTTTTAAAGATATAAATTCTTTTTTTGTGTTTTTTGTTTTTTAGACAGGCAGTGCCGAGGCTCATTAGCAGACATCGACTGCTTACTTTGTGATTTCCAGAGTTCTCTGCTGGGTGTCTTCAATGTCCAGAGCTGCCATCCACTTGTCATAATAGTCAGATCTTAGCAGGCTGCCAGGAAGCTCCTTCAGAAAACTCTATAAATAGGAGAAAGGCATTGATTAGGCACATGTATATTAGAGGCTGTGCACTAGCATATTAAATATAATCAAGACCACCTATTTGACAGCTTCCTTGTCAAGCGGTCTAACATATTTAAGGAAGTACTGCTGCTTTCTTAGAAACTATAGCAGAGGGTAAAGCAGTAGTAGTGTGGCCGTTGTGGTAGCAGTGGTTAAAATAACCTACAGCCGTAATGCTTCTTTATCAGTGATGTAGAAAGTACTTTAGCGCTAATATTAATCGTGGATTTGCACATACGTGGTAACGATAATAGTATGCGCAGAACATGTGAAGTGCGAACGCCTCTCAGTATGCAAACGTACTTTGAGTAGTCCGACGAGCAGAACGACGGGCAGCTCGCCCATGTCCACACTGCCGCCGCTGTTCAGCTGCTCTCTGATGTCTTTCATGCTCTTGATGTTGCACAGCTTTCGAAACACTCCCTCTGTGGAGGGGCCTTTCTTCCTCAGCAGCACCAGCAGCTCCTGATGAAGCAGGACGGGAGAGAAGGAAGATGAGATTATCATATATGAATAAAAAAAAAACAAAAAAAACACACCCACAAACACAGCAGCTCTGCATGTGTGTGTGTGTGTGTGTGTTTTTGTCTTGGCTTATTAATGTGCACCGTTTGTGCATGCACGCATGCTATCATATTGTATTCAATCTTCAAAGCATTAAGAAATCATTTGAAAACACAGGCTGCTAACATCTTGAAACCAATGCACAGAAAGTTCTCAAAGTGAGCTAAGCTACTGATATGACATCAACTCTGACATTTATCAAAGGGCAACTTACTGTGACTGGTTTGGGAAGTGAGCAATCGTCTGGGCATATCTTGTGGAGGGGCTCTCCAAACAGCTGAATCTTGTTTTCTATTTCTGGTCGCTTTTTGCGGCCCTTTGACAGCCTCCTCCTCACCACGTTCCACTTGGTGTCTGTTAGGAGCAGAAATGTTTTATCCATTTAACATTTTATACTCATAAGACACGGCAACAAAGGCAGACGTGCAAAGAGTCAAAGCCCCGAGTGCCAAAAACAAGCTTTCTGTACTCGTTCTCTCTTATCAGCGGCTAGATTTCCTCTCGTCTGTGGTTGTTCTCTTTGGTCTCTTCTCTGCACATGGCACATTTAGCGAGGCACTCCCTCCCACCAGAAAAAAAAAAAAAAAAAAAAACACCGTAAAGAGATTTTCAAACTCACCAGTGGGCTGTCTCTGCCTCTCCTCTTGATTATTCAACTGCTTAGACACAGCGCAGATCTTTGCGTTGCCCTGGTGACAAAATAAAGAAAAAGTGGCATGGTGAGCAACGTGGAAGAGGAACACGAGCATGCAACAGTAGCCAAGGGAGGGGTTGTGGCTTTTTTTGTGTCAAATTGCACGCCTTCTAACACGTGAATGAACAAATGTTAAATTAGTCTTTTAGATGTTCAAAAGACAGATTTCTAATTATTTTCAGAATTCTAATATAATTATTGCATTAATTGTGCAACTTATCAGTATGTTTGCACTTTCTGCATTTAACATACTATGTTTATTATGTAACAACTGTCCACTGAGCGTTAGCGCAGAGGCACAGCTGTTTTTTACCAGCAGGTGTCTATTTTGAACATTTTCTACCATAAGAAGCCAGAAAAACTGGGATTACTTACATCGAGTGGAAACTCAATCAATTCTTCCATGCCACCTCCTGTTAGAGTTTTGGTCTGTGGGAGAAAGAAATGAGTAGTTTTTCTTTAATAACGGCTCTTAGAAATGTTTATGTTTTCTAAAAAGAAATGTGGCGGAGCAGATAGCGAGACTTACTGTGATGTTGCCACTCAACACCTTCATCAGGACGTCTGGAGGAAAAGAAGAAGAACCGGTCCTCGTTTTTGCTTCTTTAATTTTTCTGCAATGACGATGAAACACTTAGAGGAGTGGCACTCACTGACTGTTTATCAAGTCTGGATTTTGAGTTTATAAAGCAGTAAAACAAAAAATAAAATGATGAAGTTATTGTGGTTCAATGGAGCCTCAAGAGATCATTAAAGAAATACAGTTTTACATTGTTACAAATGCTGCCTCGATGTTTGCATAACTTAAGAAGCCGATATGAATATGTGCAGAACAATTACAATAAGTGGCAGAAGTGATCGAAAAATTTCACAATGCTTTTTATGAATGACGATAAATGGGAGAGCGCCTGCGAGAGTTTGCTGATATAAACAATGATCTTGTTCTTACCTGTGAAGAGTATCTAACCAGCGTTCTTTCACCTCAGGCGAGCTGTGGGCAAAATAACGGCATGGTATGAGTTACTAATCCACACAGAGCGACTGAAACAAGCCGGCAGATTACAGTGGGAGGAATGACACGAAGTGCGGCCGTCGCTGTCTTTTAACAGCTCTGTCGGAAAGTGTAACTCAGTCATGGGAACAGGAAGCAACGTCACGGCGGGCCCCGACCAGAGACATCTTCCACTTCCTCATATGCTTGCTGTGGCTTCGTGTCCATCAGTGGAAACACGCCGACGAAACAGACGAGCCTACGTATATACACCTGTGCGCTTTCACCTTTCATGACCTGATTTAATGCCAGGCGCTTTAATTATAAACTGTCTGCGCACAGGCGATGGGAAAGTGTCAACAAACGAGGCCGCGGCCTCTCACGGGATCCACGGTCGACTCGGTGTGAGTGAGCAGGAGTGAAAGTTTCACACACTGAATCATCACTAGAGTCCGAGCATCCAATCAGAGAAACAAATCGTCTCATTTTCAAACAAAACAACTCAAAACCTACTAGTGCATTCATCACTTTCTTGGAATACAGCACCAGCTGTGAAAGGGCTCTTGGTTTGATTCTAATAAGTTTGCGAGAAACGTGGGAGTGACTGCCCCAAATGAAGCATTTCTAGACTTTAGTGCCGTTTGGTGCTCTTCATCATAAATTCACTGAAGAGAGAAAAATCTCCTTTGACTCCTTTAACAAAGAAAATGTCTAGACATAAAGCATCTGATGTGTTTTATCTTTATTGTAAAGGCCAGCATTTCCAGATAAAGATCATCTGATGTTAATTCCCTCCCAGCTCCACACTTCCTATTTTACAACCTTTTTGTCTTGTGATGCTACTCTGCGGACTTTCTACTTGCCACTTCCCTATTTCATGAAGGCCACAGATCATCTGACCTTTTACTACATATGCACGAGTGTGCATTTCATAAACTGAATGACCGGCAAAAAAAAGCAGTCTGCCGAATAAGAAACAGAAAGCTTATAGTTGCAACAGTGTTTTTATATTGCAATACACTCGTATTTTCTCCTCCGTCAGTGCTTTAACAGATTGTTTGCCTTGATGTCTCTCTGTAATCTTTTCTTGAAGAGCTCATGTGGCCTTTTGGAAATTTTATTCTGGCCCATTTATTACTTTTGGTTTTCATCAAATTTCACTCCATCTACTCACAGCTGTGGTTTACGACATATGCAAATACTGAATTAAGCAAAAAACAGGATAAGCTCCACTGCGCCTGAAAGCTTGCACAGCATGGCAGCACAAAGGTTAAGCTCTGAGAGGTGTGTGTATCTGTTTGCCAAGAAGCAATTTATTTTCAAATAAACTTGCCACACTACCACTGAGCCCTGACTTTAGACCGTAAATATATTTTGTTTTATTAAATTCTCCATATTGCCAACAGCTGTCCTCTTTAAGCTTGTGAAATAGGTTGTTGTGCTGACTAATAGTAACCAGAAGCCTATACAGTCAATTAAATTAAGTCTGGTCTCTAATCTGATTCTCAGTTCCCACTGTAGCCTTTCGTCAACTCAACTTTGACGCCTCTTTATTGAGATTATCCATCTATTTACTTCTGCTTATCCAATTCAGGATCACGGGGCTCTGTAGCCTTCCCCTGCTGCCACATGGCGAGAGCCAGGTACAGCCTGCAGGGCTAACACAGAAACACAGACAACAATACTCATTCACACCTCCAACTCATTAATCTAACCCCACTAACTGCATGTCTTTGGGCTGTAGGAAGATGTCAGAGTACCCAGAGACAGACATGGTGAAAACATGCAAAGCCCACACAAACAGACCAGATGGAGGATTTGAACCCAGGACCTCCTCGTGGTGTGTCATTGTGCTGCCTTATTTAGATTACATATTTCAATATTAAAGGTTTACCATAAAGAAGGAAGAGCAACAATCAAATGAAGATCCACATGTGAGCTGTGATGTTTAGACACGTGTACCCAGGTATTTGAGTGTACAGTGAATCAGTGACTCAACACTAAATATGCTTGGCCATTTCCATGTGAGTCACTCACTGTGTGTATGAGTTTGTGTGTGCGGGGAGAGGTAGGGGAGCTTCTCACCGGAAACACACCAGACAAAACGTGAGATCCCAGGCCAGGATGAGGGTCAGCCTGAGGTCAATGTCACCAATCAGTCCATCCTCTTCCTCCGGTTCATCCTCGAAACTGTAATGCCAGACGTCCTCAAGACTGACTCTGTGCTTCAGTCGGTAGCTGGCAGGCGACCTGTCGAAACGGGAATAAAAATAAAACCAACACTCCTCTAAATAATTTTCATTAATTTGTTTCTAAACGTGTTGTTTTCTCAAGATTACAAAGCAGGTTTCAGTTCCATAATTTTTGGATGAGTGATTGATTTTCTTCCCTCCTGTGAAACCATTGAAAAAATATCTTTTATATGAAATAGCGCATTTCCTCTCTGTGAAAACATTGGCACTGAACACAGAAATAAAAACACGGAGAGAAAGAAAAAAAGCCGTAATTTCTCCCGTGACAGCTTGTTTTGAAAGTTGGTCCTTCATGCGAATAATCATTGGTTATTTCTGTGATGATCAATGATCTACTCTTGCACCTGAATTGCTGACTGATTGCTGCACTTGGTCAAGCAACAATGGTCACATGCTAAGTGTCAAAAAAAGGGTCAAGATTTCGATTATCCCCCAGTTTATTAAAATAGATCCAAGTTTATGACAAATAAGAATCTAAAAAAGAAAAGGTAACTCATAAAAGATTAGAGAGGAATTATTATTTGAAAAAAATAAAAAAAGAAGGAGCTGGGAGGTGTTTCGGTACTAAAACAGAAGGAGAGAAGCGATGCACTGATAGAAGTAAACATGGGTGCTGTTTATGTGCACAGCTGTTGTTGTTTTGATTTGGCAGAATTTGGCAGATTTCAGCCAGTACTGTTTGCCCAAAGTCAGTTTCTGTCAACAGTATCTTACTATAAATACACAAAGTGTGTCGTCATAATTTCATCACAATAACACATATTGAAAATTGCCAGCATTTATAGGCAAACTATAGGCATGTAAAGTTATGAAATCCTCTAGAGTACAGACACCTACTTAAATGAGAGATCCATGATGTTAATAAGTTTTCTATGTGGGACTGTGACGTGTTCTTAATTTGGAGTCTGGCGCTTGAGTTTACATTTCTGTTTAAACACAGCCCATCTGTGCACACTCTGCATTAGATTGGTATAGATCTAACAAACAAAAACAACTTAGAGATTGTTTAAAGGTGTTGTTACATAAGTTGTTGTTCTGAGACTGTCCTCCCCATGAAAAGGTTGTTTTTGTGTAAGCTGTTACGATGACCTGATAGCAATGAACATTTGGCCCAAATGTGGTATGCAGTTCTCTTGCGACCCATATGTGGCCTCCACTGATTCTGAGTGAATCTGGATGCACTCTCTCAGCCGCAGGCGCACCTTATACAGGTCAGTTATCGGGCGGTTTTTCACATTAGGGCAACATCTGGGCCTCTCAAGTCTTGCTCATGCTACAGCTGAATCAGAAGTTCCCCAAACGTGCCTGGTATCTGGGTTCACATCTTAAAAGATAAACAAAAGCTGTGTGAACTGGGTAGAGTTACCACCACTGGAATCTAACACAACATATCTGTGTAACGTGTTTTTAACTGTTTGAAAGGTTGCATTTGACATCAAAATACGATCTCCTCCTGACTATTAAGTGACCAGGTTTTGTGCTGCACCTTAGCCATAGTGGTTCTGAATATGAACCTAACAAGACCACGAGTGAGAAAGTGAAAGTAAACAGCAAAGCGGAGCTAAACTTTGGCCCAAACTCGAAGCGCGGATCAAAAATCAGGTGTGCTCGTGACACCTCCACCTCACCATCCACCTACACGCTGCTGAAACGCTGAGATGGGCTGTTTCACATTGTAGGAGAAATGAGAAAAAGTGGCCTCCGACACCTGCTGTGTGCCTGTTTCTTCACAGCAAACTAAAAAACACACACGCAAACACATAATGAATAATAGTAGCACACAATCATCTCTAGATGTAATGATCTCATAGATTTATAGGCTCAAAAAAGGCTGTTATGCTGTATGACAGTGGTGTGCCAGCTGTGTGTCTACAGGAACAGTAGGCAGGTTGTGGTACAGAGATGAGTGTGATGTCCTCCCACTCATTAGGTATAAAACTTCCACCGTGTTTGACAAACAGATCTGATCTGACTAAGCCATGTAAACAGTGATTGCCTGAAGGTGTATTTAAATGCTGTTTACATTTAAAAAAGAAAGGAAACAGAGGTTTACTTATACGGAAAAACAATAACTAGGATGTTTAATGGTGAAGAAAAGGCGTGAGTAAATGTTCAGAACATCTCAGGGTTTTCAAATTTGAAGAATTTTAAGAGTGATTTGAGCCACACAAGCACTTGTGAGAGTATTGAACCAGCAGCTCTGTTGTTCGCTTCAAAGCTGAAGCGAAGGTTAAAATAACTGTTGAGTTTCCCCTAATGTGACTCCACTCTTAAGGGAACCACCCAACTCTCTTCTTCTACTAATTTAAAATAAGAGAAACGACTCATAAACAATGTCTGTTGCTGGGAGATTCCCCATCTCTCCGAGTAGAGTCCAAAAATACACATTTTGTTTTCACTTCCTCTTTCGCTCTCCCATTCCTACTGTACAAACACATGATGATTTTCAACAGAAAGTTGCTAAAACAACACAGTGGCAGTTTCCTTAGTTGTGATTTATTTTAAAATCTCCAGTTTTACAAGCAGAAACTATCTGGGTTTCATACACACACTCCTGAAAATATCTGATCATCACAAGCTAAAATGCTGGGGTTTTAGATTAATAATATCTTACTTGAGTTTGGCGAAGACAATCACGTCGCTGAAGAGGAACAGGTGTCTCTCCCTGGTTTTTGAGCCCTCGGTGACCTGAACGCACTCGTCCAGCAGCAGCTCTCCGTTCTCGCTGGCGAGGCCGAGGACAAATGGACTCTGCTCCACAGACACCCAGCAGGGAGCCTCCTCCCTGAGCCAGAGGATACACACCAAAAAAAAAAAGGAGTGGGTGACGGGGAGAACCCACAGCCGAACGAGTCTAAATATGGTGATTTCCACATGGAAATGAGACTGATTTTGCATCTGAGAAAGATCAGGTTCATTTAACAGCTGGAGCCTGATGTATGAACAATAATATGACTTTTTCATAGAAGAATAGGCGTATACATGTAAGTCAATCCTGATAAGGTGAAGCACAGGTGAAAAATAAAGTTAGATGTAGTTCAGGATAAATATCAAAAACTCATATATACACTCACCGGCCACTTCATTAGGTACACCATTCAACTTTCTAATCAGCCAATCCCAGCACCTGACATGGTCAAGATGACCCTGCTGAAGTTGAAGCCAAGGACGGGGAAGAAAGATGATTTAAGTGACTTTGAATGTGGCTCTTGTGGTTTTGGTAACTGATGGGCTGGTCTGAGTATTTCAGAAACTGTTAATCTACTGGGATTTCCCCCCCACATAACCATCTCATCAGGGTTTACAGAGAATGGCCCATCAAGTTAAAAGCAGTTTTCTGGAAGAAAAAATCCTTTGTTTCAAATCCTTTTTTTGTTTCAAAAAATCTTTGAATCCTTTGCCAGACAGAGGTCAGAGAAGAATAGCCAGAGTGCTTCGAGCTAATAGGAAGGCAACCATAACCCAAATAAATACTCAGTGCAACCAAGATATGCAGAAGAGCGCCTTGACGCAGAGGGGCTACAGCTGCATAAGACCACACTGGGTGCCACTCCAGTCAACTAAGAACAGGAAACTGAGGCTAAATATAAGAAAACTTTGTTTGATGACTCCTGATCTCTGTTGAGACATTTAAATGGACGGATCAGAATTTGGCATAAACAACATGAAATTATGTATCAACAGTTCAGGTTGCTGGCGGAAGTATAATGGTGCATTTAGCCACCACAGTGACCAGATCTTAGGACAATAGAACATTTTTGGGATGTGGTTGAAAAGGAAATTCACATCTGGATGTGCAGCTGACAACTCTGCAGTAACTATGTGATGCTGTCAAGTCAATATGGACCCAAATCACAAAGGAGTGTTTCCAGCACCTCGCTGAATCTGCACTACGAAGGGTTAAAGCAGTTCTCAAAGCAAAATTAAGCCCAACATGGTACTAGAAAGGTGTACATAATAAAGTGGCCATTGACTGTATAAGTATATGTATATATTCTTTTTAACTTTTCCAGGCTTCTTGATGAATTTATTTTAAAAAAAAAAGGAACCATGCACAAAGGAATATGCACAACATCGTAAATGTGGCTAAAAAAAAAGATGAGTTTCTACTAAAACAGAATCAGACTTAAATTTTATGCATCTGTCTCCAGATGTTTCTGCTAAAAATGAATATTAATCACTTCAGGAGAACAAATTTTCGTAGAAATGTATAATTCATATGTAACACGCTGCATAAGTTTTTCACCAGAAACATATGAAAGCCGATGGTTAAGATGTGAATTGGTATGCATGAAACTGCCTTGTCATAAGAGGACATACCAGAAAATGAAGAATGAGTTAGTGAATCCATAACTACCGCTATGTATGTTTAATTTTACTCTTAGGCTACTTGCGATAATAAGTAATTTGAATTCTAAGGAAATACAGCGTAAGTGCAGAAAAAATGGATGATTAGAGCCTGCTGAGCCACCCACCCCTCGTTTTTGAAACTTTTCTGTAGGCACACTGTCTTGTAAATAACACCACAGGGTCACATTACTAATACTTAGTGGACTACGGCATGTTTTTCAAGTGGCATACTTAGAAGCTGATGCTTTAAGAGAGACCTGGCATCATGGCAACAAAAGTCACATACCACATAGGTATATAACATAATAATATCCTAATAATATCCTAAAAACTTAAATTTGTCACTGCTATTGTGTTTTCTGGTTATTTTCCAATATGGGTAACACAATAAACCACTATTTGTCTGATCAATTTCTTCCAAAGCGCTGTTCCTCCTCCAAATATCACAGAGAGCAGAAATGATGCTCTAATTCAGAGAATAAATGTCAGATGTGTGCATAACGGCATCGCCAACCCTGCTTGATTGATCTTGGATCAATAAGGTCATCTTATTCTTTACAGACAAGTGGTCTGATATCAACTTACTAACTAAAGTTTGGCTATTTGTTCAGAAATGACATTTACCAACACAACTTAAAACCTGACTCACATATTCTTATCTATGCACAGACGCTGGTTTTCTCTTACTCTTCATAAATGCCATCTACCTGGATGGAGGAGTTTGTCACATTTACTTCACTGGACTAACTACTGGTGTTAATTAATGGTAAATGGTAAATGGCCTGTATTTGTATAGCGCTTTACTAGTCCCTAAGGACCTCAAAGTGCTTTACACATCCAGTCATCCACCCATTCACACACACATTCACACACTGGTGATGGTAAGCTACATTGTAGCCACAGCCACCCTGGGGCACACTGAATTAATGTACAAATAACACAAATATTTGCGGTCAGATAACAAAAAATGAATGTAAAAAGCCAGCATGCTCATGTTGTTGCCTCCCTGTTGTGTCTAGAGTGAGCCTGTGAAGATGACAAGAGAGTAAGAGCAAGTAAGAGTTGTTTGTTCTAAATGCATATGAAACCACATTTAGTGGTTGATCGTCCCACTTGGTCCGGGGGAAGAAATTCAAATTGTTATAGTAGAGGTACTTCCCCTGACTGCTGGAGATGACACATTAACTACGGGCATATAAACTGTGGGAGAAGCTTTGTGTTTGTACTTACAACAGGATAAACCATAGAAGTGCAATAGTAAAAGTGTGTTAACACGAGCATGCCACTGCTTTGTTTGTTTTGTTTTTGTTAAATTTCAAAGATAAGTTTTATAGACTGGGACCACTTTTTTTTCTTAGTAAATATTGATGTAAAATCAGAAGATAAATGCACTTTACCTACTCTTGCTTTGCTAATTAGCCAGACTACACAGGCAAAAGATAGCTTTGCTTTGTAGCTAGCTGTGCTTGGTTAAAATGAACCTAAATTTGTGTTTTGTGGACTAAAATTGAAGGCACGAGGCTAGATTAGATATTTGTCTACTTGGCACACAGGTCCATAAATGTATTTTGTTGTTTCTAAACATCAAAACTTTGAACAAAGCTAAGCCAGCTGCTCCGCTAAAGCTAACACAGACCTAGCCTGCTAACCAAGCTAGGCGGGCAACACTGTTTTTTTACTGTTCTACTGCTTTTTTTTTTTTTTAACATATTCTTTATGTACTAATATTTCCATTCATTACAAAGAAGTCCAAATTTAGCAGCACTGAAGTAAACTATTCACAGTGACCCTGTGAGGTAGATGGTCTAAATCAGGTATAAGAGGTGTAATCATGCCTGTTCAACTATGCCTTACTAGAAAAGACCAAAATGTTGTTGTTTTTTTATGTCACAGGTCACAGGGGTCAGACTGCTTCCAGCTGATAAGAATACAACAGAATGCAACGGTAACAACTCATAGGTTCTTGAAGAAGATGGGCTACAGCAGTAGAAGATCACACCCACACCAGGTGTTACTGATATTATCTAAGCTAGAAAACTGAGGCTACAATTCACACAGACTCACGAAAACAGGACAACAGAACAGAAATACTCAGCCTAGTCTGATGAGTCTTGGTCTCTCCTGTAACATTCATATCGTAAAGTGAGAATTTGGCATGAACAACAATAAAACATGGATCCACCTACCTTGGATCAACACCTCAGGCTTCTGCTGCTGGTGTAATGTTGCGGGGGATATTTTCTTGGCACATTTTGGACAACTGAGCAACTGAGTGATGTTTAAACACCACAACCTACCTGATTATTGTTACTGACTGTGTCTGTGCCTTTATGACCACAGTATACCAATATTCTGATAGCTGCTTCACTAGATTACACATTGTGTTACTGAGCATAAGAAGGGTGTCCAACCCACTACGAGCAAAGTGTACCTAATAAAGTGGCCTGTGAGTGTATATAGTGTCAGAAAGACGTGAAAACTGGTCGAAAATGGGAATCTGATACAGTGAATTGAAGGTACTTTTTCTTAGTTAAGCAATAAACTAGAGTATTATTTTGAAATAGTCACGTGGGGGAGGGGTTGGTTTTTTTTGCTTTCATCGCACAGCATTTCTTATTAGCTAACTCAGGAGCCTGGTGTTTAAATATGTTCAGCTTTAAACATCTTTATATTTAATAAGTATAAAACTATTGATTCAGTGTCGTTAGAACTATGATTCACAGCTTTATTTAACACTGTATTTTCACCCCACTACATCATTAACACATATATATGTAGAATCCAATAATAACATAGTGCTTAACTCTGTGAAATAATATAGCTGCATATGTCTGGTTCTGCCTCTTCATGCTGAGGTATACTCTACGTCAGTGGCAGTCCCACCATAGTGAAACTGACACCCACGAAGTCCAGCCCCCTCATGGAAATGCCTGATGTGTGTGTGTGTGTGTGTTTGCGTTTGCGCGCTGATTAGTTGAATGTGTGAGAGTGGGATGTGTCTGACATTTCTCTTTCTGCTTTGAAGGGATCGCCCACTGCGTGCTTTGGTGGTCTTCACATGACAACGTCTGACGAGTGTGATCGTTATAAGGTTAAATTTTATAGCCGAATCAAAGCCCACGTGTCTGAAATGCCCAAAGACAAAAAAAACTGTCAAACTGAGGGTTTGTTGAGAGGAGTAAAAAAAAAAAAAAAAGCTTTGCATTGACAACATATTTTAATTATTCAGTTTTCTATGTTTGAGTCTCATCTAAGGCCACGTTTCCATCTATTTAACAACGTTTTCAGAAAACATTTCAGGTTATTTGTCGGCCTAAGCTTACAATGATAAGATAAGCTACGTTATTATTCCAAAGAAATGTCCGCAGGTTGCTAAAACCCCTCAGGATATGAGCTCAGCGTGTTTAAAATAGCAGCTGTAGCCGTGAATTAATTTCTGTTTTAAAAGATTATTTTAAAACTGAGAGATTATTTGGCTTCTTGTACACTCAGCGAGCAGTTATCGCACAGCTTCTAAAATCAGTCATCCAGTGTTATTACTGAAAGAAACTGCTTTACGGGAAGCATAGAAAGGACCTTTTGTGGTTCATGAAATTAAACTCAGGGACCGGAGTTAAGATGTTGCTGTAGTAATATCTGGAAGCACGCTGTTTAGTTTCATATTGAACTGATTGCTTGTGCTGTCAAAACAAGGAGGTGCTGGTAATGACCTCCTGTTGATTTATTCAAAAAGGTCAACTTGTTATGGGCGAGAATAACCGGTTCATTAGGTTTCCTTGACAGATCGATATCGTCCACGCTGCTCGCCCCTCACAGCCCGGTCATGGCCGAGGTGAGGAGCCACAGCACATGTGCATGTTGTTGTTTCAAAACCCTGCTGTGTAATTCCCCGTGGGGACATCTGTGTTTGTGGCCTGAACAGAGTAGGCAGCGTGGCCTACAGGGTGACAAAGCGTGACACGTGGAGGGATGGAGGGGAAGTTAGTTTTTTGCTTGTCTGTATAATAGTGTGAGGCTATTCTCTAATGAAGAGTGTGCTGCCATCTATAGGGTGGAGGCGACAGTGAGGCTACTACTTCTTCCTGTGATTGCTGTTTTGATTTTTGAATTTTGGACTTGACTAAACATTGGAGCCTGACTCTCTAATTAGATCAAACTGAATCAGACAGCCAAGTGAAAAAGAAAGCTTCACAAGACTCTGTATGTTTCTGTATGACTTTACCAGTTACTTGCTGCTTCAGGTCATTGAGGTTTGCGGGGATTTGTTTTATCTTTTGTTGTAGATTTGCTACTGTGTTTGGGAACATTCTTCTGCTGAATGACCCAATCTCACCCAAGATTTAGCTTTCTGTCACCTAAATCTCACATGTGACTCTAGAATACTTTGGTAGACAGAGGAGTTAATGGCTGACTCAATGATTCATAGCTACTCGGGTCCTGTGGCTGCAAGACAAGCCCAAATCCTCACACTTCCACCACCGTGCTTGATAGCTGGTATGAGGTGTTTGCGTAGACAATACAATACAATTCTCCAAACATGGTGCTCTGCACTCCAGGTTGATTTCTGGGAAGGTTGTAGTGAATGCTCCAGCACACTTGCCATTAATCAGTTAATCAAATGCATTTGATTGCACCTTTACTGGTACTTATCCTCTTAATCGCTATGGAAACAGTACTTTTTTTCAATGTTTTGACATTTTTAAGCTAAGTGTTCCATTTCCATCATAAAAACAAATACATAACTGTGCATCAGATAATTAGCCTTACTTGGCGCACACTTCCTTCCCTTCGAGTTATGCTGAGCTGTGCAGAGACTGTCGCAGCAGAAAACTGTAAGGCACTGTTGTGCGTACAGCACTATGATCAGAGTGTGTTAAAATGACTCCAGGCCGTACAAGAAAATAACGGTTGCACATGTGTAAATGCATCTAATAAGAGAGTCTTTTGCACACCTGATAGGGGACCATGGCATCCCCAAAGCTTTCCCAAAGACCAGGGATGGAGCCGAGCGCCGTCTCTGAGCCAAGTGTCTGAGGTGCTGTAAGAAAGCAGAAGTGATAGTCAACAAACAAAACCTTTTGTGTCTGCCGGGAAAATAAAAATCATTAACTCATATCTGTCAACATTTTGCTGACAAGACACAAGAGACACAGAAGCATTTCAGTCAGGGAAGAAAACCGCAACAGAAGGTTTGGTGATTTGCGAAATTTAATAACGGATACACTTTATATTGGGCCGCAATCAGAGATGGCAGAGATGGCAGAGATGGCGGAGCTGTGACCGCAGTCAAGCGTATATTTAGACTGAGGAAATAACTTATTCCCTGGTGACCTTCCACCTGCAGACAAACGAGTACAGGAACAGCTTCAAGAAAGGCAGCTTAATCGCTTAAAATAGCTGCTCAGTCAGAGGTTCCATTAAAGTAAATACATTTACCAAGAAAAGAAATGAAAGCAAACAACACAAAGTACTTTCATTTACCAATTTCCACCCTTCAGAGGGTGAATTTTACATTTCACTGCTTAAAGTATTGAGTACTGAACTTAATCCTGCATAATGCTCTGGATTCCAATCAGAAGGTCGTCCCTCTCTGCTCTAACAAGTGAATACATGTGGACAAATAAATGTTTGTAGGGGACAGATAAAGGCTTCTTCTGAAGACTGAAGGATTCAAATGCCTTAGCACAGAATATACAATGTTCAAATATAAGGAATTGTACGAGATAGGTTCAGTTGTCATCTATATTGAAGGCCAAACATCTGTGTGCAATAATAAGATTTTTTTTTTTTCTCGTGACAAAGGACAACCGAGAGAGGATTTGAAATTCAAGACTACGCTTCCATGAAATTAATCAGCACCGTGTGCACTGAATATGTCTCACGTGTTTGCATGAAGGAGGGGCCAATGAGAATCTGTGTGGAAAGCGAAGGTAAACTGAAGCCATAACTACACATACGAGCTCTGAAATCTGGGTCAAACACTTCCTCCATCACATATCAGCTTCAGTCTCGGTAGTTTAGGACGCTGATTGCCTGATTGGATTTTCTCACTGCAGTTAGTGTCGAGGTTTTTTGCATCGGGCCGTGTAACGATCTGCAAATAAAAACAAATCTCACGTGAACGCTGAAAACGCTGAAAGAGTTGCTTCAGGTGATAAAATTGTCGACACAAGTCATTGGACACAAATATGAAACACTGATTTGAGAATTGAAAAGGTAAAAAGGGTTGTTTTATTGCTCTCAAGGCATCGGCGTAACTTTGTGCTCAACATTGGGGGGGTCAAGATCTCTGTCTAAATAAATAAATAAATCTGGGTAAATATAACCCCCCTAACCCCCCTGGAAATTACGCCTCTGTCTCAAGGTTTGATTTTATTTTGTAGATTTAAGGCACATTTATTTACAAAGTTCAGATACAAAAAATATTTATTTTCCCGAGTTATCAAAAACACTTTTGATCATTTTAAATCTATTAATATGACTAGAAAAGTTAGACAACATAACAGCGAGACACTCACTTGCCATTTTATTAGGCACATCTTGGTATTACAGGGTTGGACCTCCCTGTTTGCCTTTAATTCTTCGTGGCACAGGTGCAAGGTGCTAGAAGCATTCCTCTGAGATTTTGGTTTTGTGACCTGAGTTTTGTGACATGGTGTGTAATGATGGTGGAAGCAGCCATCAGAAGGTGATTACACTGTAGTCATAAAAGGATGAACATGGTAAGCGGCACGCTCAGACAGGCTGCGGTGGTTAAATAATGCCCAGTTAGCATTAAGGAGTTTAAAGTGTACCAAGAAACTGAAACGTTGACTCAAGCCAGGAGGGATCCGTGCTTTCATGTTGTTCGCAGCAAGTTACATTACAAAATGCAAGAAATCAGGGAAGAAATCAGGGCTCATCATACCAGATGGCATTTTTCTGATCTGCTCTTGTCCAGTTTAGTGAGCTCATGTGAACTTCTGCTGTTGTAGCGCATCTGCCTCACAATTTGATGTGCTGTGTGTTCCGAGATGCTCTTCTGCATACCTTGTGAGTTGGTTTGAGTCACTGTTGCCTTCCTATCAGATCAAAGCACTCTGCCCATTCTCCTCTGACCTCTGACATCAACCAGAGATTTTCACCTAGTGAACTGTCGCTCACCCGAGAGTTTCTCTTTTTCAGATCATTCTCAGTAAACCCTAGAGATGGTTGCGTGGGAAAATCGAAGCTGATCAGCTGTTTCTGAAATATTCAGAGCAGTCCATCTGGATCTGTGTTTGAGGATTTCTCTTTTATTTGCTTGTTTATTCACACATGTATATCTTCCTTAACTTACTTTTCTTTTACTTAGTTGCACTGATGGATGAATAGTCTATTTCTACTATTTCTACCTTTTTCTTGTAAACAGCTTTTCTTTGGGGAGTTTTGAATGCATTTGAAGAGTTTAGAGGAACTTCTGAAGTTGCCTAATAATTGTTGGGTAACACTCCGACGCACTTGGACATTTGTTCATTTGCGTGAAGGAAAACAAACAGTCTCTCTCCATCCTTGTTATGGCTCCTGCTGATGATGATGTTGCGCTCTAATTGCCAGACAAACTGAGAAATTGGATGAAGCAGAGTTGGAGATGAAGGAGAACAACAACACAAAACAAACAAGAGCTGGAACTCTTAACAAAGTGTCTCTCTCTGGCCTCTGTCCCTGCAGCTCGGAGCCAGGCTGGCGCACAAAGTCCGCCGACTGATGACGGACGCGACGGAGGACACAGAGGCTCATTGTTACCTGAATCCTGGAACCACAAATGCACGCCACTAAGGGACCAAAAGTGTCACCATTAACAAGCTGTAGGTCCCATCTAATGGAGATTTGCTTTGTTTTTAGAGTCTCTGCTGTAGTCTAATAAACACTTTTTTTTATTCTTTTTGGAAAAGCTGATAATATTTCTCTCTCACAGTCAACAAATAGACCAACAGCACCCACCCTCTGAAGTATCTCAAGCTCGGCTGTTTTCTTAAACACACTTGTTGGGAAAATCTTCCGTTACCGAACGTTTGATATTTACAGAGGAGGGTCCATGTGGGGCTAATTTCTCTTGATCACAACAATAAGAATAAGAATATCAATGCACTCAATATTCATTCTATTAAGAATTAATAAAGCTTCTTGTTACCAGGGAAACGATAAATTAATGCTTTTTATTACTACGGCTGTAACTTGGCTAGGTTTGGGTATAAAACCAAATAGTTTTGAGTGCCTAAGCCTATCCAGGAGAGATCATAGGTGTCGGTTCCGGAAATATTATTATCACAGTTCAAAGAAACAAGCGTGCATTGCTTAGTAGAGACAGGAAACAAAGCAGTTGCCACAAAAAAATGCGATTTCCTCTGTAAACAGCATTTTGTGTGGTGATGCCTTGTGTATACTCTTGCCACGGCGAGAGTTGAAGTGTAGGTTGGGTTATGGTTAGCCATTTCACAGTAAAGCGGATTCATCTGCTCGGGTTCAGGATAAAGTGAGGGCAAAAATACTCATCAATGGGGGCAACTGCAGTGAGCAGAGAGCCAGCCTGTTGTGATTTGGCGCTGTATAAACAAAACTGAATTCACTTGAATTGTATAAATCAAAACCTCCAAATCCAATGATGTCCTCTATGTTATGGAATTGATTAAAAGGCACTTTTAAAGTGCTTCTGTGTGTTGCCCCGATCTACATAGCACACATGCTGACCTCATATAAGCCAGTTTGCAGGTTTAGACCCTGTGATTGGCCGTTTCAACGTCAAGCCTTAAAAGGGGGTTAACATATTTCTGCTGTGAGGATCTCTCATCTTTGGAAAGACCTGCCTAAATTCACCTTTTGGCCAAATTAGAGACCTCACTGATGCAAATTTGCAGGTTTAGACACTAAGATTGGCCCCTTCTGACTGCTTGTTACCAAACTTTCTTTCATCCATCATCTGTTGACGGACCTGGCTAAGCTGAGCGAGCTGTTAATCGCTTTTTAAACAGAAGAGTTTGAAGTTTAAGGTTTTCATTAGAGATCAAATGTAACTGTTCCCGTATTATAAAGCTATTTGGTTTATCTAATTTTGACTTAGATGAAGATCCGGCCAAATCAGTGAATAATCAGTTAACAAACTGCGGTAAACCTGAAAGGCTCGTAGATGTTTTCTTGCAGCTTTTCGTGCTTCTGTTGCATCTGCACTCCGTGGAAGCTCTGAGAGGCTACATCGCTACACCTCTCACTTGCCACACGCCTTTGAACCTCATCTGGAACGACCAATTTTACCTGAACCCTCCCACTCACCCACTTTCTGTCATGTAATCACATTTCAGCAGTCAGTCAGTGTTGTGATGTTGTATTTCCTCTCTGCGTCTTTGATCATAAACCCCTCACAGACGCATAGGAACTGATCAAAATAACTCTTCTTTTTGATATCACAAAATTGTCACGATTATCACCTTTGCGAGTAAATAATGGGCGCATACTTACGGGATGCAGTGAAGCTGCACCATCATCATAGCTTCCTCTCCTCATTGCTCCAATTCCATAATCTGAACCGTCCATCCTGGTGTCTCAGATCCCAGAGGAAGCCCTCGACCCCTCTGCTGTCCTGTGCTGTAGTCTGTGTTGTCAGTTTACAGTTTCCACTTGGCAAAGCATAGGAGAAGCAGTTTGCGTCCCGGTTTGAGGGCTCTGCTGTGAATGTGGTGGGGGGAGCGCATCCACAACAGCTTCTTCTCTAACTGGTGCTAATGAGGGTTTGAACAATGGAGGCCAGGCTGGCACACAGAAGAAGAGCGAGGGGGGGGGGTGTTGGGGCGGGCCGGCGGCCCGGCAGTGCCACTCTAACCCCCCCTCGCCCCCTTAAAACCTTTTTCCAAGCCACCACTTCCTCCGTCTGAACATCCCAGACTGTCCCGTTACGCTTCAGCGAGGCAGCTTCCTCCCATAATGAGATCGGCCAGCATCCTCTCATGGCCTGCTCGTCCTCATTTCCAGACTAACGAGGGTGAGATACCGTGACAACAGGTTCCTCAGAAAAACGAGGCCTCACAGATCGGTCCCACGTCCCTGTTAAACATATAGAGATGTACTTCTGAATGTTTATAATGAAAATCAAAGCCAATTTTTAGCCAAGTATGTATTTAAGTCTAAAATAATTCCATTCCCAGAGTGAGCGGGCAAACCTAAAGAGTGGTGCAATAAAAAGTAGCCAATCAGAGTCAAGCGGTAGACACACCTCCTGTTCTGCTTCTCACGCAAACCACAAGTTTAAAAAATAGATAAATTATCGTGTGATGATGTCACAGTGCAGGAGTAAAGGTTTGTTTTCTGTTCAAAAACGGATGCTTTATTTGAGTTAAAGAACATTTGCCAGTGTGGTTACAGTATGTGTGTCGCAAAGCTTTGAAACAGGAAACAAACAGCAAGTTCCTGTGGAAAGAGCTATTGTTTTATAGCTTCACATATCCATCCTGACCTCCTCCATTACTCTATATCATAAACTGTATGTGAAAGATGGAAGTAGCCGTATTCCTGACTCTCACTTTTCAGGGAGACTTGTGCTTTATAGTATTGTGGCTGTCCCTATCTTGATCTTTTTGAAACAGAACTGATTTTGGCTCGGTTTTGGAGCCAACCATGGAACCCATGCAGCAGGCAAAGCTTTCTTTCCGGCATGGAGATATAGTTGGACACAGCAGCGGTGAAGAGTATTACTTGGATTAATCTCTGATGCATCCATCGGAGTATGACTGCTAGATAGAAAGCACATCAGCATTTTTTTAAAAAAGTGCTTGGGCGAATAAGGCATGTTGTATGAAGTACTGAAGAGTCCTCCAGAGTAGAAAGGCTCTATACAAGAATAAGTCCATTTAAAATCTTTTATTTACACATGGGATCCTGGTTGCTGTCTGGAGGTGTCCCAGTGAAGCAGTTACCCTTCTCCCACTAAAGACATGAGGGATTAAGCAGTGCTGATTACTTAAGAGGTTATACTATCAAGTCCTATAAGCTCAATGAGTCTGTGTGGATAAGAGGAAATCCAAAATAATTTCAAACTTGTGCATCATATTAAGCCCAACATCGCCATGACATTCATGCCCATGATGAGTGTATGTAAACCTCTGACTACAACTCTTTATTTCAACACAATAAATACTCACAAAGCTAATCACCATTTCTCACTGTGCCACTTTTCAAGGCCATAATCAGACAAAGAAATTAGAACAGTTTTGTTCTACTACAAAACATTAAATAAATAAAGACTATATTCTTGCCTTTAATGGTTTCTATAGACGAACGATGAAAAAACAACAACTTTTCCCAGAAAACTTTTGTTTTGCTAGACAAAGAACATGAAGGTTTTGTGATTCAGAAAAATGTTTTTCTTGCTCTCCTTTCACAGCTGTGGCTGTTAACCTGTGGTTTTTGTGGTTGATTGTCGGGCCAATCCCTTTAACTTGAAATCATGCTTGCCAGTGTACTGTGGAGGAGAAAATGTTTTTTCAGCACATAATAAATGTCATTTCTCTGGCAGAGAGAACCACTCACTGTAAAAAGTCCCCCAGCTCAGGTGCTATTTTGATAGAGCTGATGGTATCTCACAGCAGACAGACTAAACATCAGGACATCACGAATGCCTGAAAGTGTCTCGAGATAATTTGAAGATATCGTTTCTAATCTGGCCACGTAACCTCACACACTTACTTCCTGCTTTATATTTGAAAAAAAAAAAAGATAGACAAACACAAACTAGTCCATAATAGTGAAGTGGAAGAAAAATGATGCTTGGTGTTCAAAAAGTTTTACGAATAACAGGCTCTCATCCCCTAGCCCTAATTACTGGCGATGTAACACTAACTGAATTCTGTTGGGCTGTTTCTACCACCTTCGCACATCTACAGACTGCAGACTCTGACTTTTTTGCACAATAGCTCCAGTGCAGTCAAATTAGATGCAGGGTGTCTGTGAACAGCAGTTTTCAAGTCTTGCCACAGGTGCTCAACAGGATTTAAGTCGGGCTGTATGTTTAAGGTCAAACCTCCTCCCCATTCTCAAGTCTTTTGCAGCCTTTAATAGGTTTTCTTCCAGGTTTGCCCCGTGTTTACATCCATCCATCTTTCCATCAGCTCTGAGCAGCTTCCCTTTCCCTGCAGGAGAAAAGTGTGCCCACAGCATGATGCTGCCACCACCATGTTTTACAGCTGGGATTGTGTTTTCAAATCAATGTACAGTTTTGCATAAAGGCCCAAAGATTCAATTTTGGTCTCATCTGACCAGGGCACCTTTGCTGTGTCCCCTTCATGGCTTGTGGCAGACTTCTTATGGCTTTCTTTCAACAATGGCCTCTATCTTGACGCTCTTCTATAACAGCCAGATTTGGGGAGTCCAGATTTTCCCACCTGTCAATCTCTGCAGCTCCTCTAGAGTTAACGTGGGCCTCTTGGCTGCTTCTCTGATTAAAGCTCTTTGATTGGCCTGCCAGTTTACTGTAGGTGGACTGCCATATCTTAGTGTTAAAAGCTTGAGATATGGTTTTGCACTTTTTTCCTACGTACTGTATGCTAACAGCCCCGTTCACCCAGTTTATTTTTTCATTTTGCCCTCACTCAGCACTGAAATCTCAAACCTTCCTACTTATGGGTCACAGGCAGAAATCTCTTTATTACACCTGTCCTGCAAGAAAACAAAAGCTCCAGAAACTCCAGAATTAATTTATCAGCAGGGAAACATTCACACAAACAAACAAACAGGACCTTTGCCTTTCTGTAAAGATTTTGAGCTGGCCACGATCCTGGAGGACTCTGTTTAGTCCTGTTTGGAAAAGTTTCCATGCAGTTATCAAAAGCTCAGCATGTGGCCAATTCAGAGGAGGCCTCTGTTTTCATGACTGGTTTGATCTTTCCTGTCTGCTGGCAGTGATGGGCTTGTTCTAAGAATGTACTAATTTAGTCCATTTAAAAAGTTTTACAGTTTATTGTTTTGTTTTTTTTAATGGTATAAATTGTGAATACATGTGTAAGAGTATCACATTCGAATCAAATTAAAAGTAATACATGATTGATGATGTGTTTAAATATACTAGTGTGCAAAAATGATTAAACACAGAAACAGAATGTACCAAAAAGAAACAAAAACAGTAGATTGGAGCAAAGACGGGACTATATATGAGCACACTGAGGTGAAATTAAACCAAAACAACACACAGAAAAATACCCATCCATCCATTTTCTTAAATGCTTCAATTGAGGGTCACAGGTGGGCTGGATTTGTACACCCTGGACAGGTCGTCAGTCGTCAGAGATGATAACATTCATACTTAAGGCCACTTTAGAATCACCAATTAACCAAACAAGCCTGCATTTGAAATACCTGGAGAGAGCCGCGCAGTGGATTCGAACCCACGACCTTGTTGGTGTGAGTCAACAGTGCTAACCACTGCAACAAAGAGCAAATGATTAACATGGAGGTGCGACGACATTTAAACGAAGGCAGAGAGAGAAACATGAAAGCCAACAAATATAAGCAAGTGCATTACAAAAAGCTATGATAGCTAAGCATTCAAAGCATTTTCTGGTGAGTGTTTGGCGTCGTTGTAATATTCCAGATGAAGACCAGCGAGATGCTATTAAGCTCTCCTGCTGATTTGGATGATGAGGGAAACACTGAGCTGCTTTGTGGCTCATCAATGCGGCCTCTTGTCAAGAGAGGTTACATCATCGCCAGCACATAAACAAAGACCGGCTACACATCTCACTGCTCATCTTCAAAGAGCTTTGATAGAAACACAGAGTCCAGGATTTTGGTGCTTTGGTACACTAAGACAGAAATGTCGCCCTCTTGGTCACGTTCAGTCCGTTTGTTTTTTCTGTGCATGTGTGTGTAAAGCGCCTTGAGGTGACTTTTGTTGTGATTTGGCGCTATATAAATAAAATTGAATTGAATTGTTTGTGTATGCATGTAACTTCACACACACACAAAATCTGTGGGAAACTGTTTGGCGGTCTGCACAAGCATCAAGCGTCAAAGCCTCTGCAAAAAGCTTGATTAGCATACCTGCAAGCTGATCGTGCATGACTTTGATAATTATCTTTTTTTTTTTATAGAAGCAGTAACTGTTTTTAGACCATTCTGTGAGACGGGAACAAACTGTAAACAGCAAACAGTTGCTCATTTACACTGGAAGGTCAATGTGTATCCTCTCATAGCTCAGCTTTTGCGCTACAGGAAATAATACATCTGCTGTGCTTCACTATGCTGTGAAATTTCAGTTGTTTAGAGACACATTTACACAAAAATCAAGGCACCACAAGTCATTTGAGGAAGTGCCTCTATAAGCTTTCTAAACCCCAGGAGCTCTAGACAAATCGTTTAGCCACTGATCACCATTTCAGAAGCTATTAAGTTATTAGACGAGCATTAAGACACGAGACGAAGCCTCGCATTTCTGCTCTGTGAGGAAACTTTATTGCTTTGGTTCATGCAGCTGTTGAACCCTCAGACAGCTGCATGGTCTGAATAAAAATGCGAGAATCCTGAGAGATTTTGAAAATAATTACAATGAGAATAGACCGGTTTGGAGCCTTTTTCTCAGTTAAGATGGATCTGGTCTTGTATTAATGTTTCTCATTAATTTCCAGACACTTCAGCTACACTTAAATGTGAATGAATAAGCATGATAATGAGATAATAAAATGTCAAGGAAGGGTGCGTTTATTTTAAATATGCGACACTAATGGCGTCACTGAAGATCAGAGTTCCCATGTTTAGTATTTAGTTTGCGCTCTTTGGGCTTTAGGTAGGGCTTCTGTGAGGATCAGACTCGGCCTTTGAACCAGTAAATAATCATGTCTGGTTGCAGTTTTTCCATCTCATAACTTCCTAATATTTCTTTGTTGAACTGTTCCTTTGCTAAAGTCATCCCAGCAGTCTTATTCTTTGAGGTTATGGATTTTTCGCTCCTTCACACCAGTTCTTTTTAAAATAGTTGTCAAGGATTTTTGTTGTTCATCTTTAAAGTAACCTTCTCACATGCTCTATTCACAGTTTTGTGGTCCAGTCTTTGTCAACCAATTTGATCAAGAATTTTGATTTTTGTACTTCCGATCAATTATTCTGTTGTACTGCAGACGCACAGAGTCAGTCCCTTTTAAATTATTAATGGCACCCAATAATGATTACTTTTTATAATCAAGGCTTTGTTGTTGTTGTCATTCAGAGGTATTATTACATTTCCACACTGATGAAGTGATTTATTTATTTCAGAAGAAAATATTTAACTAAATAAAAAACAATTTAACTGGGTTTTCCCAGTTGTGATGAAATTTCGTGGCACAGTCTGGGCTGACAAATCATCACCGCTTTCCCCAGAAGTTAGCTGTTAGTGTGGCAACATAGGGAGTAAAACACTGATGATGAATCATTTATATTAAGACGTGCCTAAAAAACCCACAACAATGGCCACTATGCCAAGAAACAATATTTCATAATGAAAAAGAAAAAAAACAAAAAAAAAACAGGTTTTGAGTTGTTTTATAAGTTTATTAAAAATGAAACACTGAAATGTCCAAATTACATAAATGTTCAAAGACTGCAAGTCTCGTTTTAAAAAATGAAATTCCAGTGTCAAGCTGAATTCCAGTTCGTCTGACGCCTGTGAACAGTCCTCACATGCACCTCTGAGTCGAAGTATTTGGACACACACTGGTCGAAATACGTTCTCACAGTCTCACGCATAAGTTACAAAATCAGCAAATGCAGTACAGAGCCTGCAAACGTATCACATGCAGGCAAGTTATTGTTTGAAAAAGAGGACAGCGACAAAGATACATTCACTGATTGTGTGTGAGTGTGTGTTCAAAACGTAGTCGTGCAGAACGGGCAGACTGGTCGCAGCTTTTCTCAAGAGCTGCTCATCCAAACAACACGAGTCAAGAAACGAGACAAAATAGCAAAAAACTAAAATATCTGTACAGTTTTGATGTGGTTTTTACCTCTTCAGCTTTCTTTACGATCAGTTAAGACCACATAGATGATGACATTTGGTAAAAGTTTCTTACTGTAAAACTTCCCCAACACACACAGAGTGGTGCAGGCTGCGGCCACTGCAGGGGAAACACTGGCAACACAGAATTAGCCCAAATATGTGAACTGCTCATCTCAGTGAACTCAAATGCAACACTACGTGGTACCCTGGCCCACGTGGGTTAGACTAATGGTTGTTTAATTAATTAATTAATTTGTTTATATAGAGATAGGCATGGAGGCCCTGGCAGGTTTATTATTGGAGATGGTGGAGGCTTTCTTCGATGTGGAGCCCCAGCAGGTGTACACCAGCCTGTCGTGGTTGTTGCTGCTCTGCAGTACTTTGCGTTTATGTTTGCTTTGAGTTCCATCCTGAGACGAGCCCAATTTATTCTTTTGGCTGGATCCTTGTTCCTGGAGCTGAATATGGATGGGGTTTGGGGCCTGATGGGCTGTGGTAACGTGGACCCCAACTCGGTTTCCTCCCAGCTTGTGGTAGGTTGAGAGAAGCAGCCGGTGGAGCTCCCGCTGGAAAGTCTTGTTGAAGTAGAAGTAGATGAATGGGTTGTAGATGTGGGAGCTTTTGGCGAAGAGGGCGGGAAACACGAAACCCTCCGGAGCCATGTACCGGTGCTCCTTGTGGAAAATGAAAAGGAAGGACACGACAGCGTAGGGAGCCCAGGCAATTACAAAACCCAAACTGATGCAGAAAAACATCTGGAAGGGGAAGCGACAGAGTAGAGAGGGTAAGTTAGTACACTGGAAACTAATCAGAGACCTGATGAATCATCTCTGACACACAAATAACTTGTTTCCTATGAAACGATCCATTTTCAAACAAAGCAAAGATCATGTGGTGCAGCAGACTGAATATTTCATGTCTACACTTTCCTAGTAACGGATCTCGTACGGTCATGTGAATATTGACGTGTTCAGGAAAAAATTATGGCACTAATTCTATTTTTAAAGCGACACGAGTTTCTTTTAAATATAACGATATTTTTGTTATTTTTACCTTCACTTTATCTTTTCCATCTCGTGTGGTTGGAATGAACCCATTTCCGTTCCCTTAAATATTAATAGAAAAAACATAGCAGAGGCAACTCCTCCCTACAACCTCTTGGTCATCTGGGCCTCACACTGTGTTCTGGGCCTCGTGGGCTCTCTCCTGGTACTGTGGATTTCTTGAATTTTTTTTCAAGGTCAGCTTTGACCTCGGGTGCTAATAGTGAAGGTCAAGGTCAAATGCTTAACCAACCTAGGTACTCGTATCCCCCAAGGTTTAAATTGTTGTAAAATACGAAGACAATCGATAAAAAATTGTGAGTAATATAAAGTTGGTTTGTTGTGACCTCGAGGGGATTTTCAGCAAATTTAAATCAGCTTGAGCTGTTATTGGTATCTACCATCACAAAGAAATGTGAAATCCTGTGGGCAGTAGAGTGCTAACAAACAGACAAATAGACAAACGGAACTGATTACATCCTCCCTTCCATTCAGAGGAAGAATACATCGATTGATGTGGCTGAAATGTATCTGTGATAAACTGCAGGACAGTCAAACATTCAAAATCAAAGGTTCTACAGACAAAAGACAAGTCAAGTATAAAGTGTGACTCAACTTGGAGAGACAAGAGGCTCAAATGTTTAGTTCTGAGAAAACGCTGGAGGCTCTTCTTCCAGATTCAAAGTCTCTAACAGATACATGTCATTATCAGCTTTGTTCAAAACCCTGTTACATACCAAGATATGCTGTTGCCTTAAAACTCCAAGAAGAACCAAGTTTAGATCCGATCTCCAACCACAATAAAAATGCACAGAGGGCTAAATGAAAGCAATGAGTAATGACTGATGAGTAAAAGATGTGAATGCCTGTACGACCTTCACGATGCATTAGTACTGTGACACCTCTATAACTGATAAAGTCTGATCTAATGCCACGAGGTCAAAGTGAGAATTTTACAGAGAAAGGTTCGAAATTATAAAAGCTCCAAAACTTAAAGAAAGATGCTTTGTTGCTTTCTTTATTACCTCCTTTAAGATACACTGGACCATCCCATATGAAAGGAAAGGAGATATAACTGGCAACTAGCATGTAAATACTAATTATTAGCCTGTTTTTCATTTAATGCCATACCCTGCTGTTGTAATATTCATGGTTCACACCCAGCCTGGTTTTGCTGCAGGCCTCTTCCTGTCAGGAGGGACTTCTTCCTTCCCACTGTCACCAGCTGCTATTATATTGCAGGGTTTTTACTTTGCAAGATAAAGCATATTGAGATAACTCTATAAAGACAGTTTATTTAACTCTAATTCTTATAAAGTTTTTATCTTGTGTGCCGAACATAGTTTTACATGTAAATGGAAAAAAAAATCTCTCTAATTTCTCTGGATCATCTGCCTCCATCTCCATCCTGCCTCTAGCATCCTCCTCTGTTACACCTCTGCACGTCCTGCATCACTGCATTCTTGAATCTTCTCTGTGGTGTTTCTCTTTTCCTCCTGCGTGCCACCTCCTTATTCAATATCCTTTGCTGCATGGTCACTTAATCATTTCCCCAGTGTGAATAGACAACATGAGCTGAGCTCAATATGAAGAGCATCTGGTTTCACTTTATAGGCTAGTATATATTAATTTTTCTTTAAAATTACAGCTGTGGTATTTGAGTGATGTTTTTCGCGGGATATTCGGGTTGTTCTCTTTCATATGACCTGACTAGTTTGGTGTAGTTACCTGATGATGAGGTCAAGGATCAGTTATCAGGAAGAGACACGGGTGGCCATTTTTGGCACTATTCGACCACTGATGGAGAATTTCCTGTTGGTGTGCACTGAGCAGCAAATTCGAGCGCTGCCTGGACTGGATTCTCTCAACATTCTCAGTTCATGTGTGTTTGTCAAGTCTGCAGATATAATGTAAAGACTGAAGCTCACCATGGAGAGCCGCTTCTCAGCGCGGCGCAGGTTGTTGCGGATGCCCCTAGCAGACAGCAAGTAGGAGAAGCGGGACACCTTGTAGAGGATCCTGCACTGCGACACCACAATGAGGAGGACGGGAACCAGCGTGAAGCAGGCAAAGGAGCAGATGACATAGAAGGCATCCTTGGCAGAGGTGTGATAACCCCGCCAGGCGATTGTGCAGGACAGTCCGTAAGGCTCGGGGACGTACTCGCCCCAGCCGAACAGAGGGAAGCTGGACCACACTGTAGCAACCAGCCAGATAGCACAGCACAAGAGGCGGATGTTGGTTCCTTTCAGCCACACAGCTACAGCAAGAAGGCAAAAAAAAGGATAGAGACTGCAAGATTGGGGGCATTTGGGACATGAGTTACATGAAACTACTACTCTTAGCATCAAATTCTTATTAACTAACAACAACAGTCCTCACCGTAAGCCAAGCTGTAGCAGGTCTTTAGGTAGCGGATGATGCTGATGGCAGTGATGGTGAACATGCCGCACAAGCCGAAAATGTAGCAGCCGAAGCCGTAGTAAACGCACGTGATGTTTTCTCCCAGCCAGGCGTGGTGGAAGGAGGACAAGATGGCGAGCGGGTAGAAGCAGATGCAGCTGAGGAAGTCGACAACAGCCAGGTTGACGCACAGCAGCTCCGAGCCCACCATCTTCTTCCTCCTGAGGTAACAGATCACCAGCACCAGCCCATTCCCCATTACAGAGAGCAGAGCTGCACCGGGAAGAAGGTCAGAAGGAAACTGCTGCATTCGTTTAGCATTTGGCCTCTTTGGAAGCAACACTATTTTTATAATTGCTATGACCAAAATGTTAGCAAACATTTAGAAAGGTTTTGAGACAAAGCAAAAAACGTTTACATATTTTATACCTTCAAAAGGGCATCGTTATTACTTTAAAGTGAGTGTATCCCATGGAAAATGTTCCCATCAGATATGCCAATGTCAGTTTTACTTAAATAGCACATTTAATTACAGATAATGTCAATGTTGTTTAATATAAAGATAAAAACATAGGCTCACAATGATGCCTCAAGGCAATTTAAAAAAGCAATATAAAAGTATATATAAAAATAAAATACAACACACTTAAACTCTTAATGCCGAGGGTATCATATTTGATAACTGAGGCTTTCTGACTACATCAGTGCGATTTGTTTTCCCCTGAAAAAACAAAATAAATTCCACAAAACTCACATAAGCAAATACATTTTGATTTTTTCAGCCAAGATTCCTGTTTTGATCACTGTGTTTCAAGGACAACAAATAGGAACAATTTTTTTTGTTCTTGACTTTTTGGAGCAGCAACAAATATTTCCCTCTTATTTTGAGATATCCAGCTGTTAATATGAGTGTTGCTCATTAGTTTGAGAATCACCTGATGTCGGCAGATGTTGTATACTTGTGTGGAAAATCTAAGAAAACCATCTTTAGCTGAATAACCTTCTTATGGGCACTTTGCACTATTTGCCCAGCAGTCTGACATGCTAGGAGTTCATTTTTAGGTCGTACATATCAAAGTGAGAGCCACCATGCAGAATAACTGGATTATTGACGTCTTAGAGGCAAACCGAGCACACATTTATATGAGTGAGAACACAATACAGGTTAAATCCTTACTTATAGTTACTGCTATTGCAATGCACACCTTCAGCGCTCCTAGTCAAGTGTAACTAGTTTAATGAGCGACTGAGCCCTGCAGACAAATAAAAGTCAAATATAAGATCTGAGAAGTTCATTGAAAACAAACCAATGGAAAGAAAAAGAAAATGAAATGATTAAAGTTTAAATACTTTATATTTAGTGGAAATTAAAGCACTTTTTATAACTTAAAGGCGTGAATTAAGCTTATCAAAAAAAATAGTCAACAGCATTTTTGTTTTCCAGGTAAAGCAGAAATAGAGAGAACAGATAACTCAGCATACCGATGGAGAAGATGGCCAGTCCCACGCATATGTCAGCAGCTGGGGTCAGTTTGGAGGTGAAGGCGGAGGTGGTCCGGTTTCCATCAGAGGAGTTCAGAGGCATCGGTCGCTGCTGCTGGTGTTGCTGATGCTACAGTGGCTGAAATCCAGTCCTGTCTGTCAAAGGGAGATGAGGCTGACTTTCTTTTATGCATGGGGTTCTGTCGCCATGGTAACTCAAGTGTGTGATGTCCGTCAAATACACTGAGGATGGGGATCCAGGAGCTCTATAGACAAGGACGTTATAAGGACTTTGGCTTAACTTGCAAATGCCACCACAATATCTCCAACAGCCTGGGCTTTAACAGCCTAACCAGCCATTTTTCCATTTATTCTAAGGTATTATAGTTTAGTTTATTTTTAATCCTGCAATATTACGATTCCTCAACATTTTATTGACTTCAACTTAAAACCACATCAGAGAGCCAGAAACTGCAGTTCCTCCAGCGGCCAGTTGAAGCTGGGTCTATAAGAGAGTCAGACTTCCACATTAAAAACAAAAAACTTAAGAGATTAGATGAACTTTGCACAGCGTGGTACAAAGACTGGTTTTCATTCTTTGTGGCTTATTTCTGCCCTCACAATAACTATAGAGAAGGTGGTGTTTTATAACTGAAGGTGGCATGGCTGCTTTCATTTCCATGTGTCTGACACACACCTGTAGGTGGATCATCGCAAGCTGTGTTTATGCTGTGGTTCCTTTTGAAGCATTTGACTAATATAGAACATCTGGGACATTTATGATTCTTTTTTTGGTGAGTGAATATTAAGTGTTTTAGTAGTTTGGTGCATTAGTCACCCTCTCATCCAAATATGACACTTCTGGCCTCAAAAGACCAACATGTCACCATGCAGAGGTCAGAAACTGATAGGTGACGTCTAGAGATCTCAAAAACCTGCACATGGCTCACAGTGTGTGAGCCCAATGCACAAAATTGTATTTGCTAAACTTTTCGGAAGATTAAGTGGATTACATGCAAGTGTACACTCCTGAAAGCTGTGTTGCAAAACCTGTTAAAACTAGGACCTGCTGTTTCAGCTGCTAAACGGAGATTCACTTGTAGTTCTTTTCGAGCCACACATTTCTTGGGAGACGTGTCCGTCACCTCATTTTGCACATTTTAATATGTAGACATGGTGAAGATGGCAAGCTGAAGTTCAAACTGAGCATCAGAATTGGGAACAAAAGTGATACAAGTGACTTGTATGGTTGTCAGACAGCCTGCCTCAGACAACCATCTTTAGGCTTCACAGAAGATGGCCTAAAAAAATGAAAACATCCAGTGAGCAGCATTTCTCTGGGTGAAGATACCTTGTTGACGTCAGAGGAAAATGGCCAGACTGCTTTGAAGTGAGGAAAACTGAGTAACCCAAATAACCACTCACTCATCCAAGATGTGCAAAAGAGCATCTCTGAATGGACAATACGTCAAGTCTTGATGCAGATGGTGATTGCAGCAGGAGTGACACCCGGTGTGGGTTTCCTGTTTCAAGAAAAGGAAATTGAACTACAGTTCACATGGGCAACACAGAATTGGATAAATGCAAGCATGAAAGCATGGATCCATCAAGCCTTGTATCAACTGTTGATGGCGTAATAGTGGGGGGTTCATTTGTATTTCGGAGGCTACCTGGTTATTGTTGTTGACCCTGTCCATCCCTTTATGACCTCGGTGCAATCATGTTCTGATGCCTGCTTCACAAAGGTTAGAACAAACTTCTGGTGAGCTGATTTCATGAGCCCTTCAAACCAAAAACCAAGTATTTAAAACTTAATGATTCAGATAATTGATCTACATTTGAAAATCCTTAATTTTATGCTAAGTTCCCATATATTTTCACTCCTGTGCAGCAATGATGGTATAATAGCACCACATCTGGTCCCCGAGCTGCACAATAGGAAGCATAATAATCATCACTGTTGCTTATGGCAGGTCGAGGCACCATCTGCTGACCTCTATGAAGAACTGCAAGAAAGCAAAAAAGTCAAAGGAGGAAAAAAAAAAGACAACTGGAGGCTTTGAGTAGAAAGATAAAGTAGACTTTATTTAATGGTGAAACCTAAATAAGATCTGTGATTACAAAACAGGCTCCCCATGTAGTTTCTTTCAATGTCACAGAGGCTGGAATGCTGTACTGACAGAAAAGGCATCAGAAAGACTTGACCTAAAATATAAAGCTTGAAAACTACGAGCTTCAGAGAGAGTCGAGAGAAAGAAACCCTCTCACGAGTCGTTCCTACAATCCAATGGCAGTTACAATAGTTTAATGAAGACGTTCAGCAGTTGTCAACATCAGAAACTGGAGAATAAAAGCAATCGTGACTTCATGAAGTCTGTAGAAAAGAGACAGTGAAGAGGCATAGATGGTAAAAGAAAGGGTTTCCTTTGTTGCACTACGTCATAAAGGGCCTCATTTGGTTAGGACATAAAAATACATGGTAGCACGAAAGCCTTCTGTGCATCAAATGTCTAAGACGCTTGGAAGTCTTTGCACTGACTACACTTTTCTCAGACCACTGAAATGTTACGCTGTACATTAAATCAGAAACCAAGTGGCATTTTCCCTTTAAGTAGCCTCCAAGCTAACATACACATATACACCCACGCGACAAATATACACTCAAGCGCATCCTGCATCCCCATCATGAGCCAGCTGCAAAAAAAAAGGGAAACATCCAAAAATATTCGGGTTATCAATACACTGGAAAAATATAGCACTGTAGGTCTCTCTCTTTTCATTTTTAAAGGAATAGTTTAGCAGCTTGGGAAATATCAGAGTAAGAGGTGAAGATTGGTTTGAATAAGCAGCCTGAAGCTAATAAAGTTCACCCACCAGCTTCTCCAACTCTAACACCGCAGGCGTCTGCATGGATTAAACAAACCACATCTCTTTTTAATTTTTAAGCTTTGGAGGTGCTGTTTGGGTGGATTTTATTTCTCAGGGTAGAGCCAGGCCAGCTGCTTCACATTCACCACATATATTCAACCTCTTCCCTTCGCCTTAAAAAAAGAAACAATGCTGAACTCCTCCTTTAAAACTCCAGTTATTAAGAAAAATATTTCCTTTGTTGAAAAGCTCTTTCTCAATACTTTAGTGTAAATGATTTTATAAACACAGCTCTGCATTTTTCAAATCGGCATCACCCAGATGAATACAATTTTACCAACACCTGAAACACAAAGATAAGTGTTTAGTCTTATTGTTCATTAAATTCATCGTCTCAGGCAGAGTCATTTACAGAGCGCTCACTCTATATCTGGGATTAATATCTCTATCCATTTTGGCCATCTTTAAAAAAGGAAGTGGTTGTGTTCTTTAGCTTTCCTGTATCTTAATGCACACCAAATGTTTACTTTTTGGGTCTGGACCCAAACACCCCCCCACCCCACCCCACAAAACAAAAAATAATAATTTTTGCCGTTCTCTTAAGTGTTGGCAGCGATGAGGAAAAAGCACATTAAAAATAGACATCTTTAAATAGCTGTTCAGCTCTAAGTGCAGCACAAATCGGAAACATTGAATTCAAGTCATCGTTATCTCCTCCCCCGTCTCCGCGTATCATACAACGAATATACCGAAAAGAAACATTTTCAGTTAAGAAACTAAATGTGAAAGGATAAATCTTTGATCAGACAAATAAACAGTATACTGCAGCCACACTGTAACATCCAAAAATAGTCTGAAGTTGAAATATAGATTTTTTTTTTCTTGCCAAAGAAATGCTGGCGTTCACTCTAAGTAGATTTCATATACTGCTGAGGTGTGATTTGTGTTTTTACGTCTCTGTTGATCCTACCCCGGCAGTCCTGAACGCAGCATCAAACCGTTACAGAGTAAAACACTGACGTCCGGTGTCATTTGGCACATAGGGTGCTCTCGCTGACAGCTGCGGTGGCGTCGGGGTCTTTGTCGTCTGCGGTGACGGCAGCGGCGCTCCTTTCCTGGTCCTCGTGGTTACTGTTACTATTATTGTTGTTGTTGTTTTGGACACTCGGAAGCCCGTGGCTGTTGTTCTGGACCAGCGGCATGTCACCGAGCTTCAGCTCCTCCAGCTTCTTCCACAGCTCTTCTCTCTCCTGCTCCTTCTTCTTTTCCCTGTGAAATCACAGTATTTAAAAACAAAAACTAAGCAAAACACCAGACACTAGTGTTGATATCGCCAAACCAATCATTTTCATCACAGTTTTAATCAAAACAACCTATTTTTCCCTAACGAAATAAAAACTAATGCACGAGGACAAAAAAAATATGATGAAATTCATAAAAACAAGATGTTCTGACATCCAATCTGAACTAATTAAGCTGTGTAGTAAGATCAGACGCGCACATTTGATCTGACCCTGGGGAATCAGGAGAGGGCTTTGGCTAACAACGTGACAAAACGTGAACACCTGAGAGGAAGTGAAGAGACATAAGGACACATTTCACATCTGATGTCAAGGAAAATAACAGACTAAACTGTGTGTAGCAACGTTCACTGGTAAAAACAAGGTTTTACATTTTATACTTTAGTCAGTTATTATATGTAGTTGACAAAAACTAAAAGAGCATAAATGTCCAAATTATAATTATGATTAAAACTAAATGTCTTGATCCTCTAAATTCGCATTCATTATTACAAGCAGAAACATTGTCAGCCATGCTGGATATAATACTCGTTTTCTTCCTTTTCCTCCACTCTGCTTCTGGTTGCTAAACATTAAATGAATTTGCATGAGGAGGCGTGAGTTTTACTTTGACCTGCCGACACTCGTCTTCTGCTCCCATTCATTAAAACGCCTTCTGCTGTGTCGGCTGTGCATGAAGTGATCTGTTCACGCATGAATGTTTGGCAGTGACTAAGCGACAGGTGAATGTTGTGCAATTAATGAATAATCCTGTGGTGGGAAGAACACAGAACTTGGGTGTAACGATAAATGCATAAAACAAACCAAAATGACCATTTCGTCACTATTAAACATTAAAAAAAAGAGATGAGATCAGCAAAAACATTCTAAATGATTTCTGAAGTTATGTGTCAGAGGCTGCACAGCATTACTTTAACACTTCAGAGACATTTTTCCTTTAGATAACAGAAACACGACAGGAAAACGAGTGTTTGAGTCACTCACCGTTGCCGGTCTGCTTTATAGGAGGACGTCAACTCATCGAACAGTGTGCAGTTCATCTCCATCAGCGTCTTCAGCACATTGTAGACTAGAGCTACGATTGTCCTGCAACACAACAGAGACTGTCATCAGCAACACAGCTGTGAAATGTGCATGAGTGGATGTCATATTTCGCTGTAACTGTGCAGAAAATCTATTTGCTGGTGAATCATTCCCAAACCAGCCAACACTCTAGTTTTCACACACATTTCTCCATCTCCTAGTGACTTTACATTTTTGTTAGAAACTTCTGTAGTTTTTGTGATGCTCAGACCTTGTTTTAATAAATAACTGGATTACACACACCCTAAAGTTTTGTGTGTGCGTGTCAACAAGTCTCTAAGTGCCAAATGGCAATTGACAACCTGATTCGAGAAGTGCGAGCGCAGCTAATCATAAACAGGAAGGCAAATCAGCTGAATGAATTAGCCATATTAGCTTTAGCTTCACCGCTTTTACAGTGAAAACAGTACAAAGAGATGCAGAAACACGTGTGAGCTACATCCTACTCGTAAATGTGTGTGACAGGTGACTGTTGGCTTCAGGAAAGCTTGAACAATATTCATTGTTTTAAGCTTTCCAAGTTAACCACTCATGATCAAAATCCCTGTAAGCGGGTTATGAGAGGATGCACTGTTCTCAGAGAGGTTTGTAATACTTTGACCTCCAAGATCTATGCTAAATGATGTGTGAGACGTGCCAGACATGATGGTGTCTTTTTGTCTCGCCTGCCATGTGTACATGTCAACACATTCTTAAGAAAAGCTCACGAGAGCAGCCTTAACACAGACACAGCAACAGGTTTCAGTGCACATTTTCATAGATGTGGTTGAAAGCGGTCCTTTGACTTTTATTCATTACATAACAATTGTTTCTAGAGCGCGGCGATCACGGTACATACGGATTCCAGTGTTCTTTGGAGATTCTGTACAGGCTGCCAAACATGATGGGAAGGATCTTGTCGATGTTCTCTTCGATGAGGCTGAGGATGTACTCGTTATTCCAGAAGTAGAGCGCCCGCTCTGCTACCTGCAAACACAGAGAAAGAAGAAAAACTCCAGTTTAAACAGTGAAAGCTGACTGGAATTTGGGAGTGTTATGATAATGATGCTCAGAAAGTAGGGGACCAAAGCCCTTTCAGACATGTGCCTCTTGCATAAATCCAGCTTTACATGGGTAATTTCTATGTAGCAGTCATGATAACACGAGAAAAGCTGTTGGTTTATAAGACACTTCAGGCTAAACAGAATTCAGTTTTCTTATTTCATTAAGGGTTTTACACCACTTTTACATGTGCACTGCAGCCTATAGGTTGAATCAAAGAACGCAAATGCTCAACACAATTTTATCAGACATTCGATTCATTCATTCAGCAGCAAGGTCTACGCACGGTCTTTGTGAGACAATTAAAGAGAACAGTCTGGTGATTTTCATAGCTTTCAAGTGGCCATTGAGTGTCCTGCTTCCTGCCCTGACTAAACTAAACAGAGCCACGGTTCTCAAAGGAAGCGTTTGTGTGGCTTGTGATAAGTAAAGCATTAACTAATGTACTAGCGGTTCATGTTACACTACAGAAACACAGAACAGACCATCTGAGCATTTCCCTTCAATATTTAACTCCTGTTCTTGCCAACATAATGATCTAAGCCTTCCATTACTGAACAACCACAGCTGGGTTCACAGAATTAACCCGCAGAATTAAAATCACCCTGAAACATCCCTTAGTTACGCTGCTATTGGCTTCGGTTTCCAGGGGATGCAACTACTTTCTGGTATTATAACTAGCTTGTGTTCTTTTGCTCTATGTTCCTCTTTTCACATTCCCCTCATTCACCAGCCAGTTAAAAGATATTGCTGCCCATAACCCAGTCGGGTGATACAGGAAGTCTTTTCGTGTTAAAGGTTTTTTCTCCCCACGGTCACTGGGCTGATCATAGGGGGCTACCTGATTGTTGGGGTTTTCCCTTGTAGTGTCTTTAGCTTTCAATAAAAAGAGCTATGAAACAATCGTTGTAGTAAACTGGTGCTACAGAAATAAAACTGAATTAACTGAAATATTAACAGCATCTAACTAATGATTAATAAACTATAAATCATAATATAAATGTGCTGGCCCTCAACCCTGAAACAGCACTTCCTGTAGTAAGAACATGTTGGGCACAGATGACCACCTTCTGTACTTCTTATGAGCAACACGTGTGTGAAAAAACAGCTTTAAAGATAAACTTTTATATTGCAATATTTTTGCAATATTTTTAAAAGCATACCTGAAAATGTGGATTGGTCACACATTTGGAGATCTGCTTGAATAGTGGCTCCTGGATCTTTTTGAACTGCGTTGGTTCGATGACATCCAGAATCTCTTCAATTTCGCCAAGAAACATCACCTAATTGGACAGGAGGTGCAGAATATTGAAATGTGGCTGGCAGCATACAGATTTTTAAACGTGTTGTCTATTTGTAGACATGCAGACTACCTCTTTCTGGCTGCAGGTTTTAGGCCAAAACTTCAGCAGACCACGGATCACCTTTGAAAAAGAAACAGAATATTCCTTGAGTTTTTCTCTCTCGTGTC